CACATACGGTACAGTATTGGGTGAGCACCTTTCCTGCGTCTTGGTGAATTTGGATTCCTTTTCAAATTTAGACCAGCTTCCAACATTTTGTATTTGCCCTTTCAATGCCATGAAAGAGGGTTTTTAAACATGAAGCTTTATGCCAGTGTCACTTCCTCTCGGATACTGTCCTCCTTTTAGCAGCAACCACTTCCTCATTTGCATCAATATGTTGGATTTCACTAAGTTCCTCTGGCTGCATAGCCAGAATCTCAAATGGCAAGTGGGGGCACCCTCCACATCCCATTGTCAGGTATTTCAAATTCTATTTTCAGCATTATATGTTAATGTCTGGGTTTTTCTTTGCTTTCCATTCCTTTGCTAGCAATTCCCTCTTTCTTGATCTATCTTTGTAACATGTCACATAGTTTATTAGTGAGAAACAAGGAGTCAATAGAATGACACACTTTGTTGTTTGAACTAACGGGTGTGCCACGACTGACCATGAATAGACTTGAAGTAAGTGATGTCATTGGCCACACATCACAGTGCACATTTGTTATTTGCATAATGATCTGTAGATTGAAGGGCTGGCAGAGAAGTTTGCACTTTATGCAGCTACAGTTAATATAGCAGGCTCACTGAAATTTGAGCCACATTGTTGCAGGACTGGTGTTATTTACCTAAATCACAGTAACTGAAATGGTGCATATCGGACCATGTAGAGAGGACCGACATATGTTGATATTGTTGTCTAGGCACTCTTAGAACTTGCCATTACACATATCCTGGGGGAAACATAAAAGAAATAATTTCACATCTCAAAAGGAAAGTATTAATCCAGTGAAATACAGGATAGTGAAGATAATGCAGGATAGAAATTCCAAGTGCCTGGCTATGAACCCACCGTGCCGCATCACATGTCATCTCAGGGAGGATGCCCAGGTTCTGTGTGCCTCTGTGAAATGAGGGATAATAATAATGCCTTATAGGGCTATCATAAGGATTAAATGAATAATTCAGGTAAAAGTCTGAGGACAGTAAGCATCTCTCAAACACTGCTATTATTATAAAATGAAGAATAATTCCAAATGATCTGAGAAGAGGGTATCCCCATGTAAGAAAGCTTCTTCCACCTTCCCCACCCTCAATATAATTTTCTACTAGATATGCTTGCTTCCTTTCTAAGAATATTGGCAATTTTATGACTGAGGTGGCAGGGAATTGTTGGAGGAGCAGTGAAGGGAGGGACAATCATTTGTCTCCAGGCCATTTGGGTCCTGACCCCCATACCAGTCCACCAGTTCAAGAAGGGCTATTCAATTTTATTTTGAGCTCCAGAAAAGGAGAACAAAGCAAGAAGGAAGCAAAGAATGGAGCAGTGAAAAAATAAGAATGAGAAACATGAAGGAAGACGTGGTCTAGAGCAAATTATATCTAAATTAAAAACCCTGACATTAACATCAAAAAGAAATATTTAGAGTGATTTGTGTCCCCTTTCATCAAGAACTATAGTAAGGGATGAGGCAACCTTCATGTTGTGTCTAATATAAAATATCACCCATAAACGAGGAGCCTGATTCAAAACTGACACCAAAACATCTAATAACAAAGATTACAAATAAGCATCCACATTTTCTTAGAAAGAAAATAGATAAAATGCCTCCTGGTTTAACAAATCATTGAATTTGCAATTATTCACATATTCTTGCTATTTCCCAAGGGGGGAGGTGAATAATGAAATTGTTATTTAAAAAATCGTTCCTGCCAAAGGCCATCCCGTTTTCCTTTATTAGACAGTTGAACATTTCTGCAAGGACAGTTTATTTTAGCACTTGATTTTACCTGCATTCACATGTTTCTGTTGGCTGAAATGTTGGAGTGAAATGCTCACCGATACTCACAACGTAGCCACACTTTGCCTATGGCAATTGGCAGCCAAGTGCTACCTATAAGTTCCACAGCATAACCCAAGTTAAAGTTCCTCCCTCTCAGCCAAGGGATCATCCCTTACCCCAGGTTAAGTCCTGACGAACAACCTGAAGAGCAACATGTCAAAACCTATCATTTGCCTGCTCCTCTGGGTGGCTGAGTCATGGCCTCATTCCAAGGCCTTCTTTACCAGGTCCGGGTCTTCCCTAGGGTCCTGGGACTATGAACCAGGGGGTAGCAGGAGTAATATTATCAATCAGATGACCATATCTTATTACTGGATCAGAAGAACCTGACCTTCCAAAAGTTTCTGTTTTCACATGATCACCTGGTCGCAATCAGCTAAATGTCCAAGATGCACCAAGTGTTCACGCTGGGAAGAGCCACTGCCAGGACGGCTGCCATTTAACTGCTAATACCACGGATGGCCCAGCAAAGCTGCAAAGTTACTGGGCTACAATGCTAGGTCTAAAAAGTACCTCTCTGTCTCCCAGTCCAATGCTCTTTCATTTATCTTATACCTTTCTGTCACTTCCTCTTTTTTAGAAAAAAAATTAATGTATGTTTAGATACACATAACTGCAATTCAACCGAATAGAGTCTACCAAGTACAGTGGTGCACCATCTGAAGTACATCATCTATGTGTGACTGCGCATGGGCACATACCCCAAAACGCTCACTTTTTAAAAAAATGTTTTTAGAATACCCCCATAAACAAAATACATTCCCAGCTACACATAAGAATGCATGGAAACGGTCTGAGAACAATGAACAATCATATGAGAGAAGGTTTTTTTTTTTTTAAGATTTTATTTATTTATTCATGAGAGACAGAGAGATAGAGGCAGAGACACAGGCAGAGGGAGAAGCAGGCTCCATGCAGGGAGCCCAACGTGGGACTCGATCCCGGGACTCCAGGATCATGCCCTGGGCCAAAGGCAGGTGCTAAGCCACTGAGCCACCCAGGGATCCCCGAGAGAAGGGTCTTAAAAGATGTGTCAAACTGCTGGGTAAGCCTGCCCTACAAGCACAGTCAAGGTTGTGAACTGTAAATGTCTCTGCTTTCCTTGCCTCGAGCTGGTCATCGTGCTCTGTCCACGCCATCTGGATGCATCATAAGCATATGGTGATTTTGCAACAGACACACGGTTACTGTAATGTTATCAAGAAGCAGAATGACAGTGCAAGAATAAGCAATAAAATAAGGTTAGGTTTTATTTTTTTTTAAGATTTTATTTATTTATTCATGAGAGACACAGAGAGAGAGGGAGGCAGAGACACAGGCAGAGGGAGAAGCAGGCTCCATGCAGGGAGCCCAACTCCAGGATCATGCCCTGGGCCGAAGGCAGGCTCTAAACCACTGAGCCACTCAGGGATCCCAAGGTCAGGTTTTAAAATGAAATGTATCCTTACTCTTTCAGGTTGAGAAATTCAGATAGATTATTGATATCTGACATTACTGACTGAACATGACAAATGAAATAAAGAAATGAGGTCACTTCCTAAGGAGTTTAACACACACATATATGCAGACAGACACCCATGGTTGCTTAGAGAGTCACATCTGCTAGACTGGAAGCTCCATCACTGGCAGGGAACTTATGAATAGAGCCTAGGTGGGCAGCAGTGTGCTGTTTGTACTTTGCTCTTATTTGCCCTTCTGTCCTCAAAATGTATTGCTACACATGTGTCCTCAGGTTTTTCTTTTCTGTTTCAGCACCAGGCTCAGACTGCCTACCCGATGCTCCCTGGAATATCACAAACATAGGGCCAATACCCTAGAATACTTGGATGCCTGCGTGTTTGGTTTCATTCAATACCATGCTAGGACTTGGATAAAACATCAGCTGATGATCAGATTCCAGGAGGAAATGTAAAATTTGGAATTATTTTTAAAATGGCATCATCTATTATTCCTTTCAGTTTTTCTATAAAGACATACCTGTAACTAATAAAGTTCCTGACATGGTCCAGATTCAACACCCCCCCCCCAAAAAAAAAAGTTCTTGACATGGTCTTGCTTTGTTTGGCCAGAAGATCAATCTAATATAGATGATATTTCTTTTTTTTAAAATATTTTATTTATTTATTTATTCATATATATATATATATATATATATATATATATAGAGAGAGAGAGAGAGAGAGAGAGAGAGAGGGAGAGGGAGAGGGAGAGGCAGAGACACAGGCAGAGGGAGAAGCAGGCTCCATGCAGGGACCCCGACGTGGGACTAGATCCCGGGTCTCCAGGATCACACCCAGGGCTGCAGGCGGCGCTAAACCGCCGCACCACCGGAACTGCCCTAGATGATATTTCTAATATGAACATATCTCCATTTACTTTACTAAATTCATATCTCATTGGACATCTAAGATTCCTACATTATACTGAAAACCTGAATGCCTCTAAGTATCTGATCCTCTTCCACATCTTTAAAACGCAGGGGGAACGTTGACTTGAATTAACAAGGTAACTCTCTAGATCTGAAATATTGCTAGGATTAGCAAACACATGCCAAGATGCCTTCTGGCATTATTTTTTTAAATTTATTTATTTATTTATTTATTTATTTATTTATTTATTTATTCATGAAAGACATAGAGAGAGAGGCAGAGACATAGGCAGAAGGAGAAGCAGGCTCCTTGCACGGAGCCGGGCCTTCTGGCTTTCAGTGTGAATGGCTGAATACATAGCATGAATACATAGCATGGTAAAGTATAGAGACACACTCTCAAAAATCAAAATAATGCCTGGTAGAGAAGGTCAGCTGAATTCTTTCACTAAAAACCTGCACTATAAGGAATTTAATCCTAAAGCTAAATATTAATAGTATAATTATACTTTCCTCCCAAGAAGTGAGAGGAAAAAAGAAGGAAGGAAGGAATAAAGGAAGGAAGTGGGGGAGGGAAGAAGAGAGGCAGGAAATATGTAAGTGATTAAACCCTTTTCCCTCAGGGGAAGGAGGTAGAATGATTAATAACTCAATAGTGTCTGCATCAAATACAGTTTCTCCCTCTACCATCAGAACATGCAAAGTAGAATCTTTCACTTTCTTCTTCACCCATCAAAAGAGATATAGTTTATTACCTTCAAAGTCCACATCTCCAACCAGTTTTGTCTTTCCTGTCACTGGGTCATGGACATAGTTGATACCCACATCAATGACAGCAGCACCTTCTTTAACCATATCAGATGTAATCAACTTTGGAATACCTGAAAGCAAAACAGAGTCGTAAAACACTCTGGAAAAGACTTCAACTTCATCCTTGAGCCTAACAATTCATACGTCTGATGTTTTGTTGTCCTGGTTTTAAAAACTGTATAAAAATACACTGTTTCTAGGAAGACACTAACTGCACTTGATCCTTTCTGATCAAGCAGAAGAACAAAGGCAGCACATGGGAGCTTCTGTGCATCAAATCCTACCTGGATTTACCCTTTCACCTCAGAGATTTCTCCAGATGAGTTCCCACTGGAGTAGCATCCTTTTGTATTTCATGCACTGTAAACAGCACGGGGACATTATAGATATGAATAACAGGCTCCTGGAAAATTATTTGGAAATTGGAGGTTAGAGAGAAGGAAGGGTGGAGTGGAGTGCAGGGGAGGAATCAAAAGAAAAAAGATGAAGCAGTAATAATTCGGATACTCAGGGTTGTGGTAAATGATAAAGTGTTGTACACACAGTGGTATCAACTCTAAATATGAGGTATTATCTTGGGCTTTCTTATTTTTTCTTGGTTTCTTTGATTCATTATGTTTTTATATGACTTGGAAAAGTATAAGACATTCTAAGCTCTACTCACTATTTTCTCATTGCAGTTGGAAAGATAACTCTACAGGGAGCCTGGGGGGCCCAGCGGTTTAGCGCCGCCTTCAGCCCAGGGCCAGATCCTGGAGACCCGCCATCGAGTCCCATGTTGGGTTCCCTGCATGGAGCCCGCTTCTCCCTCTGCCTGTGTCTCTGCCTCTCTGTCTGTCTCTCATGAATAAATAAGTAAAATTAAAAAAAAAAAAGAAATATAGCTCTACAGGGATCTTATGTTACCATTCATTTTCTATAACTATTTTCAAACTTTATTTCAAGTACAACATTACAAGCTAACAATAGTTGATGTTTCAATGGTTTTTGTTAATGATTAAGATATCATCCCCAAACTTAGTGTCTTAAACACCACTTCGTTGTTACATTTCATAGTTCTGTGGGTTGACTGAGCTCAGTTGGATGGATCTTCCTTGGGGTCTTTCATCTACTTGGAATCCGACAGTGGCTGAGGCTGGAGTTATCCTAAGATGGGACTGGGCTGACTATCCAAGACGGCTCACTCACATGCCTGCAGTTGCCGCACACGCTTGGAGCTCAGCTGGGACTATCAACTGGAGTAAGTCGGCGTGGCCTCTCCTGTGGCTTGGGCTTCCTGGCAGCTGGCTCCAAGAAACACAGAGCAGAAGTTGCCAGTCACTTAAGGCCGGAACCTGGAAGCTCTGTTATACCACCTCTGTTATACTTTATCAGCTAAGTAGTGGCAGAGATTTCACTTTTCAGGGAGAGGAAAATCAAAGATTGTGGCCGTCTTTACCACCACCGTGCCTAGGAGGTGACTTACTCATTTTCACATTCTGCATCCCTTGCAAGAAAAGGACACATGTTGTGTTGTCAGAAGCTTTCTTCTACATTTAAACTATCCATTTAAGCATTCCAGATGGCTTACATGTCACCTTGTGGTCATAAGAGTTTTAGTACAAGAATTTAAAGGCTATAAAGAAATGGTCAGTACTAAAGTAGATGTAGCTATTTGATAGGTTCCTCAACCACATAATAATATAACCAATGAGGCACTGATGTTTGAAATGTTTTTTTCTCTAGCTTTCCTATCCTAGCCCATAGAACTTTTTCCTTTTAAATCAGTTCTAGTATAAATATTGAGTATTTTTCTAAAGAGAGTCAGAAATCCTGTTTCTTTTTGGCATCCAACAGAAAAGGAAAACATAGCCTTTTGGCTCTCTGAGCAGCGCCATGGCAGTTGGCAAGAATAAGCACCTTATGGAAGGCAGCGAAAAGGGAGCCAAGAAGTAAATGGTTGGTCCATCTTCGAAGAAAGATTGGTTTGATATAAAAGCACCAGCTACGTTCAATACAATACATTTTGGAAAAACATCAGTTATTCAAAGAGCCAAAACAGGATCTGATGGCCTCAAGGGCAGTGTTTTCAAAGTGAGCTTTGCTGATCTGTTGAACAATGAAATTGCGTTTAGAAAATTCAAGCTAATTACTGAGGATGTTCAGGGCAAAAACTGCCTAATTTCCATGGTGTGGATCATTTCATTACCCATGACAATATGTGCTCCATGGTCAAAAAGTGGCAGACTCATGTTGATGTGAAGACTACTCATGATTATTTGCTTGGTCTGTTCTGTGTTGGTTTTACTAAAAAACACAATGATCAGATTCAGAAGACCTGCTATGTTCAGCACCAACAGGTATGCCAAACTCAGAAAAAGATGGTGCAAAATCATGACCTAAGAGATGCAGGCAAATGACCTGAAAGAAATGGCCAAAAAATTGATTCCAGATAGCATCAGAAAAGATACAGAAATACCTTGTCAGTCTACTTATTCACTCCATGATGTCTTTCTTTGTCAGAAAAGTAAAAATGCTGAAGAAGCCCAAGTTTGAAATAGGAAAGCTCATGGAGCTTCATGATGATGGTAGTAGTTCTGCTACTGGGGATGAGACAGGTGCTAAAGTTGAATGAGCTGATAGATAGGAGTCACCAGTCCAAGAATCTCTTTAAAACTCAGACTTTTAATGGTGACAAATAAAAAAATCTTATTTGTGATGCTTAATTTCTAATCATTCTTTTTAAATAATCTAAGCCTAGTGAATCAGATGTTCTGAACTAATAGTGAAATGAACTTTTCTGAACTGCTGTATGGATTTTATCCACTGCTCTTAGGTACTAAAGAGCTCTGAAAGATTAGTGATATTTTTTAAGCCATAGTGATCTGGATGGAAGTTTTATAGATGGTTAATAAAAGGAAAACTTTTCTTTAAAAAAAAAAAAGGAAACATACATTGATTATAATTTCAGGAACTCCTTTTAAGACGAAAATGTTGATGAAATAGTTATTAAAATTCAGCTACTATGCTTCTGAGAAAGATCCAAATTTCCCTCCCAATTGTAGTTGTTCATTACATTTTCTCAGTGAATATCAGACTGGCAATAATAAATGCACAATTTACAAAATGGAGGGGAATGGGTGTTTGATTTTAATTCTCAGGAAAATTACAAAATGGAAAAACCTTAAATACATGTTTATTTTTTTCTAGGATTTCAAAATATTTATATGTCATATATAAAATACCTATAACTTTGCTAATATTGCGTTTATGTACCCTACCATTTTGTCATTAAAATTAAATTGTGAGCATTTTCCTGTTTTATCAATTATTTGACATTTAAAACCCACATGAAATAATTTATTATATGAATTACCATAAGTTACATAGTTCTGAACTTTTTAATATTTTGCTATTATAATTAAATGCAGTGATGATCATTTCTGTTCAGAAAACTACAGATGATTTTTTAAAAAAATTTTATTTATTCATGAGAGACACACAAAGAGAGAGGCAGAGACACAGGCAGAGAGAGAGAAGCAGGCTCCATGCAGGGAACCCAAAGTGGGACTTGATCCCGGGACTCCAGGATCACACCCTGGGCCAAAGGCAGGCGCTAAACCGCTGAGCCACCCAGGGATCCCTGATTTCTTTCTTTCTTTTTTTTTAATGCATCCCTGATTTCTTAATTACAGCATCAAATTTGACAAAATTTTTCACTAAACCCTTATTAACTTGGTGGAAAGACATGGGTTGGACAAAAGCTACTATTGTTATAGTCATGGATAATTAAATAACGTTTTCCAAAAAATGGTGATCAATGCATCTGTAAAAAGGTCTATTGAGGTCTTCCATGAAAAGTATTTGTTGATGCCATTTAAAATTTTTTTATGGGGATCCCTGGGTGGCGCAGCGGTTTGGCGCCTGCCTTCGGCCCAGGGCGCGATCCTGGAGACCCGGGATCAAATCCCACGTCGGGCTCCCGGTGCATGGAGCCTGCTTCTCCCTCTGCCTGTGTCTCTGCCTCTCTCTCTCTCTCTGTGTGTGACTATCATAAATAAATAAAAAATAAAAAAAAAGAATAAAAAAATGCTCCACAAAGAAAGTATATACTGCCCTTATTCCTCACTAGGGATATTTACAATCACATAAAGAAGGAGTTAATCTGGGAAGGTTATAATGCCTTCCATTTCTACGATATTTTTAAAAAAGATTTTATTTATTTATCTGAGACAGAGTGCCAGAGAGAGAGCATGAGCAAAAGGGAGGGGCAGAGGTAGACTCAGACTCCCCACTAAGCAGGAAGCCCAATGCAGGGCTCAATCCCAGGACCCTGGGATCATGACCTGAGCTAAAGGCAGATACTTAACTAACTGAGCCACCCAGGCACTCCCATTTCTAGGATTCATTTTATTTTATTTTATTTTATTTATTTTATTTTATTATTTTTTTAAAGATTTTATTTATTTATTCATGAAAGACACAGAGAGAGAGGCAGAGAGAGAAGCAGGCTCCGTGCAGGGAGCCCGATGTGGGACTCGATCCCAGGACTCCAGGACCACAGAGTTCATTAATTATATTTTTAAAGGCACTGAAAAGAGATTTCTTAGACATGATATATTTAGCTCCCCAAGTATACAAATGCAATATATTTAAATTCTTATCACTTGAGTTACAGTGGTATAGAATTAAAAACTATTTAAATATTTGGTAAAAGGGACTCCTGGGTGGCTCAGCGGCTTAGTGCCTGCCTTTGGCTCAGGGCGTGATCCTGGAGTCCCGGGATCGAGTCCCACATCAGGCTCCTTGCATCGAGCCTGCTTCTCCCTCTGCCTATGTCTCTGCCTCTCTCTCTATCTCTCATGAATAAATAAATAAAATCTTAAAAACAAATAAATAAATAAATATTTGGTGAATATTTAACACCAATAGGTTTTAAATGCTATTAGTTGTTGTTTTCTGTTTTTTGGGTTTTTGGTTTTTTTTTTTACATTTTGTTAAAGTTGAAAATGAACTTTTCTTAAAGTTCAAATAACTATTTCCTATGAGCTTTATTTTTATTGATTGATTTATTAATTTATTTTTGCTGTGA